TCAAATCAAATTGAATGACAACCGTTTTAGGACTGTCCTTTTATCTTGTACTGCATTATTTGGGTCATAGATCAGGCTATCCTTTGATCTTTGGATGTTTTATCATGGTGGTGGTGGGGGGAGGAGGGGGTCATATTGGGACTTGGATTGGGAAGGTGGTCTCAAGTCAGGCAACGGATGCCTGATGAAGGGAGGCCCGATTCTTTTTTTTCTGTGTTTCATGTTTTGCTGCTTTTGGGGGCCATAGATCAGTCTTTGATGGTGAAAAGGGGGGGGGGGGTCATAGATCAATCGGCACAGGTTCTGTTGTACATAAGTGGACTTGTTTTCCTCCGTTGGGGCGCGAAGCACGCTGAGCGTGAAATGTAGTCGGTCTCCAAAGACAACAGGAATGTCCCAATTGATGCTCCCAACTCATTGATTTGTTGGCAATGAAGAGTTTTCCCAAAAACGGGGGGGGGGGGTGGCAGAAAAGCTGGCATGTTAAACTGTTCGGGGACCTTCGGAATCGATTCATCTCAGCAGGTTAGTGTCTCAACCGAATCAACGCCTACCAATTGTGACATCTAAAAGCTGCCAGTCTGATGAAGGTCAAAGAGAAAAGCTCGCCGGAGCTAACAGTCATCAATCTCATTTTTTTTTTTTTTTGTGGGTTTCATCATGATAGATATGCCAAGGAGGGGCTTTGCTGATCTATTTCTTTATTTGAAATTCATTAAATGGTCTAACTGAGGGAAGATGGGTCCCTCAGAACATTTTTTTTGTGGCTCTACTCAGGATAGACATGCCTACAATAATTCATGTTGCTACAAAAATTCTCAAGGGTGCGTCCGTGTCGAAACGGCATGTCATACTAAAATGGCAGACTTCCTGTGTCTTTGAGGCCTGTGTTTTTAAGACTTTTTTTTTTTTTTTTTTTTGGTGGGTCTTCTCATGCAATGCAGTGCATTAGAATTGGCTTGGGAGGGCGGAATTTCCCAAAAAATGATCCTTTGCATATTAGACAACCCGAAATTATGACAGAATGATTTTGCAACCTTGCCGTCTCGCTTTGTATTCTTTTACTTCTTTTTTTTTTTTTTTTTTTTGGACTCACTTTTAACAGCCAAATCATTGACATTTCAAGCTTATTTCTGCCCGGCTCGTTCAAGCGTCTATCGCTATTTGGTTCAGGCAAAGCAACTCTCTCTTTTTTACGTCAGGTAAAAAGCACCTCGGCAATTACATGCAAAGTGGCGACCCCACAATGGAGATCAACACGCTCGGCAGTGCGAGTGAATCAAAGTGTGCCAGCGACGACGACGCAGGATTTTATTTTTTTTGCCTCCCCCTCTTCCCCGCTGCTTATTATGTTAAAACCCTGTCATTTTCCCGCGGCTTTTTATCCAAGGACAATTATGTCGGCGCAAGAAGGAGGCTGCCCTTGCTAAAGGATATGGCATTTACTGGCAGAGCCCCGCATTTAACTTTGTCGTCGAAAAGGCTGACGGCTGATTGTGAGATGCCGAAAAGGTTGCAATTAAGTCCCCACGCCGCAACTTTGTGTGTGTGAATGGAACTGACTGGTGAGGCATCAAAGGTCCTCGCTCGACTGCCACTTCCAATGTCCAGTGTCTCATAGCAACAAGTCTAAAAAAAAAACAGTGCCACAAAAAGCTCGTGTCGTGCCGCCGTTTTGTTCTCTAAGCCGAGAAACGTCTTTGAGGTAGTTCGCGAACGCCTGCGTGGAGTTGGGGCAAAGCTAACATGCGCACGGATGCACAATCACGAATGTGGAATTCAGCAGCTATGTGGAGAAGTGCTGCCGTCATGAAAGAAAATTCGGGATGCACAATAAACTCAATTCAAATTGAATACCAGACTGGCTAAGTCTCGCTTAAATGTAATGTTGTTGTTTTTTGTGGGGCGTAAGTTTGTGCGCATTTTTGGTTGACTGTAGCACAGGCGGTGTTGCGAAGACCAGTGGCTGAACCCCGCGCAGTGCACGACAGCTCAGTTGGCCCCGTCGCTCGATGTGCATCAGGGCCAACAGGCAACAGAAAAAGCAACGAAGTGCTGCCGCCAGAAGTGAAAATGTTGCACTTTTTTTTTCGGAAGGCTCACAGTTTTACTTCTAGAACAAGTCGCTGCTCACATCGTGGAAAGGCCCTCGCTTAGGAAGCGGCGAGAGCAGCGTCTCATTTGCATGAGACAGGTTGGTTTGAAAGGCACACGATTGGTATTTTGGTCTGACCGTACGGAAGAAGGAAGGCCAAACAGTTGGTTGGGAATTGGAAGTGGCTTTTTTACGCAATACTGGGACCTTTTAATTCATAAATAAATTGATAGATAAAATGAAGCATTTTCAAAGAAAACAAAAACTTATAAAAAAAAAATATATAACTGAATCTAAAACAAAAGTCCCAAAATATTACCTCGCTGCATACACCAAAACTCAACTTAGCTTTTGAATTTGGCACATTTTTTTTTTTTTTTTTTTTAAATCAAAGCGTATTCTGGCCGTGTCGTGAAAGTGGTTTTGTATCTTCGGCCAGCCAATCTTCCAACTCGAGGTGTATTTTGACTATTTGTTATTTTGGAATTATGGCATAGACACGATTTTCAAAAAGAAGCAGATGATTTTTTTTGGGGGGGGAGAGATTAACTTGGTTGTTTAATTTCACACTTGACGGGTGGCCAGATACTTCAGAGACCAAACAATTTGGATACCCAAAAAAAAGTAGAATTGTATGAAAAAGATGAGCTTTAATTCTTGATCCTTTCAGAGTTTTGAGGGAAATGTTTGAAATTGCAAAAAAAAAAACCGCTCACGATGTCCGCTTTCATCAGAAGGAGGTTGACAAAGGACAGAAGGAAAGGAGACCTTGGAA